GCTGCTCTATCTCCTTTCCATCCTGAACCACGAGATACAGAACCCCCCTGACTGTTCCCCCTGCCACCTCCCTGCCTCAGTCTGTCCCCAAATCCTTTAGAACTGACTGTTCCCCCTGCCACCTCCCTGCCTCAGTCTGTCCCCAAATCCTTTAGAACAAATTGGATCCCACTCCCCCTCCCCCTCCATCCAACACACCCGCTGCCCTCTGTGCTCCACCTGAGGTCAGTCTACACTCAGCACCCTCCTTTTGCCACCTCATCGAGCTCACTCCCTTCTTTGGGCTCTGGAAAAAGCACCCCACATCATCTACTTTTCAGAGCATCAGCTCTGTCACTTCTCCCAAACACATGTTCCTAAGCCTCATTTTCCTCATGCCTGAAACAGGAGTATTACTAGTAGTGTTCCTGCTGTTATTTTGTAGCAGTGTGGTATAAATAACATTTCCTAGTACAGAGTATTAATGATAACCTCAGGGTTATGGCTGTATGACTTATGCCTATCTAATCCCCCCTCTCAACCAACCCCCACCCCCCTCCCCCGCCCCACCCCCTGTGCAGAATCAGTGTTAGTCTTCTGAGTCCTGTTTAAAAATATTGGTTCCTGGGACTTCCCAGGTGCAGTAGTTAAGAATCCGCCTGCCAATGCAGGGGACATGGCTTCGATCCCTGGTCTGGGAAGATCCCACATGCTGCAGATCACCTAAGCCCGTGCGCCACAACTACTGAGCCCACATTCCCTACAGCCTATGCGCCACAACTACTGAGCCCACACGCTGCAACTACTGAAACCCGTGCACTCTACGGCCCATGTGCCGCAACTGCTGAGCCCACATGCTGCAACTACTGAAGCCTGTGCTCCTAGAGCCCGTGCTCTGCAACAAGAGAAGCCACTACAATAAGAAGTACCACAAAGAGTAGCCCCCGCTCGCTGCAACTAGAGAAAGCCCGTGTGCAGCAACGAAGACCCAAGCACAGCCAAAAAAAAAAAATACTGGTTCCTGCCACAGCACAATTCACCCTTTTGGAGTTGTCTCAGAACAGATTTTCCAGCTGAGGTCCTCAGACCAGTTGGAAGGTGAAATTTTAATAAAAGAAAGCATCTTTTGGTAGAAGCAACTGAAATTCGCTTCCAACCCAAAGCCATGTGTCAGCATTCCGCCTGGGACTTGGTAGCCCACTCATCCTGGGATTGGTCTGTGCTGTGTGCTTGTGAAGCCTCTAGTATGGCTGGAGCCTACCCTTCTTTGGCCTGAGGAAGACTTGGGTTGCATCCTGCCTGTCCAGCCAGGTTATGTTTGGAGAGAGTGAGGAGGGGCTGAGGCCACTTGGGTTCCAGCCCTGCTCCCCATGTAGCAGCAGCCTGTGTCTCAGGCAGCCTTGCAGCCCTGGTGGCCGCTTCTTTACGGTGGGCTTGCTGCTGTTGGGATCTGTCCCTGCAGACAGCAGCCGGCACTGGATCCTGCCTTGATTAGAGGGGGCTGCTCTCTGTGGGCCAGCAGTTCTCCCCGGGCCTGTGGTGGAACTTATGCCGTTGTGGCTGCTATCCCTCCTTCCCTCACCAGGAGTTTTGAAGCAGATCCTAATTTGTCAGTTGCAGTAATCCAACCTCTTCACCTGCTCTTTAGAAAGTATTCTAATGCACCTCCTCACTGCATTTTGCGGAAATTGTGGGTCATGCTTCATTCCTAGGTCGCACTTAATTCCTCAAGGCTGGTTTCTTCCTGACAACTTTTTTATTTTTATTTTTTGCTGTCGCTGCCTCTGTGCCTGCAGGGCGGTGGCCGCCAGCCCTGATTTGCTAGGTTGGGGCACTGGTCCTTCCTGCTG